CTTGCCATGTCACCTTGCTTATCTCTCTAAGCCTGGACTCTTCCTTTCTGCTCTCACTGCCCCTTAAGCATACCTCTACTTCCTGTCATTTTTATGCTGATTAATATACATTTTATATGTCTGTGTTCCTCACTAAATTGACCTCCGTAGGGCAGGAACAGGCTTCACTCATTTTCTCAGGAGATGCTCTAATGCATCTGGTTCTGTATTCGAAAGCAATGGAACATGTTCCTCTTAGGTAAAATGATAGGGAAAAAAGGCCGATGTGTCATTCAAGGACTGATCAGGGAAGCAGAACCACTATGAGTCTTCTGGTACAAGGGATTTTATCTTCAGAAGTAGATCTTATACTGTTGTGGGAGGAGCTGGGAAGTAAGATCCAGAAAAAAGAAGTCGGAGGATCAGAGAAAAGTTCTTCATCAGCCTTCCTCAGGGCAAGTCAGATTTTAGGGAAATCTAGACAAGCACAACCAGTTGCCAGAGGGACTGTGATGGGGGTTAGTAAAGAAGGCTGTGGAAGGCTGTTGCCCTAGGTGGCCTATTGTGGCTGTAGGTCAACGTGGCCAGCAGTGGGAAAGAGCTGTATGTGAAACAGGGAAAATGAGGACAGGCTGGAGCCCTTAGCGCCTCTGCGTGGTCTCTCACTGCATCTCACCTTGTGACTTTTGAAGAGCAGTGGCTGTGCGTCATTTCATCTTCTTGATCACACACAAATGTCTCCTGAGAATAGCTCTAATCTAGAGACATATAGAAAAGGGGCTTCCTGGAAACAATTCCTGTCTAGCTAAGTTGGCACAGTACAAAATTACCCAGCCCGTAAATATTATTTACCTAAAAAGTGGGTACTTATATTTTTCCCAAGAGCTACTATTTCGGCCATTTTTAATAACCATGGCAGAATAATGTTATTTCCACACACGCCGTCTCCAAATGTCATATGGAGAAGAGACAGGAAAGCTGTTATAACAGAGGTCCTTTGCTAGCCTCAGTCTCTAGATCAGCAGTAAAAGTAGACGTTAAGATTACTTTCAGAGAATAATTTCTTTTCTTGCTGTTTTTTTTTTTTTTAATATGAGAAGGACCCCCTGTAATTGTAGTTTCCCATATGCTTTCCACAAGCTCAGTCCATGAGTAACTAATGATACTGCCTTGTTTATGTGGCAGGTCCCACAGGTATCAGAGTAAATGAAATCATTTGAGGTGGCACGTAGTCATGTTTCACACTCCATTTGTATAGTGATTTTATATGTTTATGCAGCTGTTGAAATATCTTAAATTATGTGCATTTTGGGTCAGTCTGTTTCTTTATGAGTTACTAGAAAATACACACCAGCTCTGTTTCCTCGTTTATGCTACTGGAGTTATCATTCCCTTAGGCACCTAGACTGGAAAACTTCCTGTCACTTTTGATTTATTCCTGTCTTTCAATCTTCATACTCAGTAATTTTTTTGTGTGTGTGTGACAGAAATAGGGATCTATTAGTGGAAGAGTGGGGGGCGGGGCAACACCAAAACTCTCATAAAAATATCGAACACTTCATGAATTTGTATATCATCCTTGCACAGGGGCCATGCTAATCTTCTTTGCGCGTGCCTCATCTCCATTACCCTTTGCGAATTAAATCCTCTCTGTATCATTCTAATTTTAGTATATGTGCTGCCGAAGCGAGCACCATACTCAATAATTTGTTTATAAGTCTTGGAAATGCCACTTTTACCCATCTTGTATTCTCCATTCTTGTGACAATCCTAGTGCATATAATAGTTAGTCATCTCTCTGTCTGTCCGTCTATTAATCAATCTATCCCTTGTGAGTTTCATAACCTTTCTATTTTAAAAAAGACTTGAAGAGTTAATAAAGTGGAACAATCTAAACCTGAGTAATTAAGATTATAAAGAGAACAAAGAGGTCCTAAGTGAATTGTTCTCACTTTTGGATGATTTAGAATCAATGGAGAACTTCTGAAAAATACCGATACTCAGACTACTCGCAGAGATCTGGATTCATGTGGTCTAAAGCTCCCTGGGTCATTCTAATATGCAGCCATGGTTGAGAACCATAGAATTGGAAATGAGGGGGGTAGATATTACTAAGCCAATTGATCTGATCCGATTATAACCTTTGAATCCTATGTGTGGCTGCAAGGCAAAGAGAGATGTATGCTGTCTTACACACATCCCATTGCCTGACAAAACATTTCTCCCCAGATTTAAACTCTAAAAGTAACATATTGTTTATGTCCTAGTAATGCAATAATAGCTACCCTTTACTGACTGTTTGCCATGTGTTAAGCATTATGCCAGTTAAAGGAATTATCTCTTTTAAGTCTCACAACACACCTATGATGTGACTATATTATTAACCTAATATTTCAGAAAAGGAAACTGGGGTCTTGAGAAGTTAAATGAATTGCTAGCTTTTGGATTCAGGCTAACTGCAGAACACTGATTCTTAACCGCTACATTTTACTGCCTCTAATGTGAATATACTTGGCAATACCTCCAATTAAAGTTTTGCAAGAGACAGAACGGTGTTCAAATGGAGATCCTTGTTAAATAAAGGTTGAAGATAAATAATTAACAAGAGCATTTCTTGCAAGGTGTTTAGATATTTTGCTTTCTGATAATCTAACTTATTATAGAGAGACATCAGAACTTCTGGAAGAGTGGGTTGTTAACATATCTACTGTATTCTCTCAGGTCTTCTCATAGGAGCCTTGGGGAAGTCCGGCTTCACCCACAAGGTAAGAACACAGAGCACCAACCAAGGTTGGGAGTGGACAGGGCACGACAGACTGGGATGAGGCCAACAAGCAGTAAGTCTTTTGGAACCAGGCTTAGAAGTAGGAAAGGGAAGAAGGGGTAGAAGGCCAATAAGGGCATGCTGCTTGAGGAGCAAGGCCTAGACAATGTGAAGAATGTAGGTTGGGCTGGACAAGAGGAAGTTTCTGAGCTGAGGAGAAGCATAAATGGATGAAGCCGTGTGGTGCCAGAGCCCAGATCATAAATATGGGTGTGCCTCGGCTTGGGAGTTAGAGAAGTGTGCAGATACTTAAAGGGTGAAAGGTAGGTGCCGGATCACAGGTAACTCATGATTATTTTATCTAACAAAGTCTAAAGTAGAGATACGTCATATCAGGTAAGAACTGTAGGCTTTGTATACCAGCCCCCAGCAGTCATGTTTCTGTTAAAACGTGATGGCCTGGAGATACCTGGAATACTGCCTTGAGTTCAGTCTTATCTCACTCTAATCAGTGCTCTCCAGAATCTTCAGAATGGGTCTTAAGCACTTTTTTTTTTTGGTGGCACAACTTAAGAACCGTAAGGGGCGCTCTACTGCCTATTTCAATCTAAACTCCCAAAGGGACTTCATTTTATCTTTCCAGATTGGTCCCTCCCCCTCTTCAACATCTTCTATCGCATTCGTCAGGCCTGCTCACTGCCCCTCAAATGATCACGGCTTGGATTAAATCTGTTCTGCATGCTTTAGTCTCGACTTCCCAATGTGATTGTAAGCTCTTTGAGGGAAAGAATTTAAGTCTTTTAAAATTTCTCTTCTTCTCATGACCTAATGCCGATCATATGGTAAGTAGCCAATGCCTGCTGTTTGACTCAGTTATAGTTTACCCTGAGCAGTCCTTAGAACAGCGCCAGCCACAATGAGGTATTTAATAAGAGTTTTTGGATTGAGATAGTGACCATCTTAGGATCAGAAATTATCTGGATGTGTTTTTTGTAATGACAACATGAATATTAACGCCTCATGATAACATGATGTAATGGACTTCTGAATGCCCGCTCTGTCACATATGAACAGTGTCGCCCTGGGCAAGACACTGTGAACTATGTTTCCTCATTGTAAAAGAAAGGCGATCATGGGGACCTCAGAGTGGTTGTGAGGATTAAGTCACATACCAAAAGGAGATTGTCCAGCATGGTAAATGGCTACAATAGGCGTTCAGTAAATGGGTTTTATTATAGAAAAATTTAAATCTCTATCACTTTTTTTCTCAAAAAAATCTATTTTCCTTTGAAATAAAAAGTACATCCAAAAGAGCTAAGGGCTTGGGACGATAGGAAGTTTGGGTGGGGACACCAGTTTGGAGGTAATAATCTGTGCCTCTGACCCTTCCACCCCACATTTTTGCCAAGGAGGAAGGAAGGATCTGTAAGCCAGGGACCTCAGAAGGGAAGGGAAATATATGCCGTGCCGGTGCTTCTTTCGGAGCAGGTAATCCTTCAGGTATAGAACACCACCTCCACGAGGTGATGTCAGAAACAAAGACTGGCAGAGCCCTTGGAAATCATACAGCTTGCCCACCTCCCATCATCCACATAGGCACACCAAATCAGAGTAGAATCTCTATTACTTTTTATTCTACTGGTTTTCTGTTTTATCCTTTACTCATGTCAGAAAAATAATTTTAAATTTTCTTTAAATGTTTTTGAGGTTAGATATTTTCTGATAATGAGAAGTTGGTAGACATCGTATTAACAAAGATTTTTTTCTTTTTTGGTAATTGTCTGGATCATAAAAAACAATCAAATAAGTCAACTTATTCTTAGTTTTGGACTAGAAATCAGGAGAAGGAAAAAGAGGGGAAGGTAGAGAGATGGTTCTTAAATTGTTAGTGGAAACATGGTCCCCTAACCCTTGATTTGGCATCCATGATGACATCTTGATGGTAGGGAAGGCTCACAGAAGGGATTCCCGTCTTGGTTAGCAAGAGTGCTCCAGAACTAGACTGTGAGCTTCCATGGCAGAATGTGCTCTCTGATCAACTGGACTTTGCTGCAGGAGGGGTATGGCTGAAAACAGCCTACTGTAAATTAACCAGGTGTGAGAACATAAGACCAAATTTTATTTCACCCAGCAACAGAATGATAAAATGACATTCTTCTCTATTTATATTCTATCCCATCTTCTTGTCCTTCCATGCAGGGCTGCTGACAGAGGTTGTTGGGGCTATTGTGCCAGGTGTGGAGATTCTGCCCACTGGTTAAGAGACCTCACTCTCAGCTGTTGGCTCTGCCTCTGCTTTTCGAGGTCGGCCCTTGTACTCGCAGGAACTTAGGAGCTTCTGTAAGTATGATAAAACTCCGTTAATCTGATGTTATCATTCGATAAGAGAAAAGTGAAGCAACCAGTGGACAAAGTGAGGCTTTTTCTTGACATCATTGGTTCTTTAATTATAAGTACAGATAATGTTTGAGATGAAATGAAAACTCAGAGGCTCAAATACATCCAGTGACACAGGCATCCACAGGCGAGTGTAGCTGTTTTAAGCCCTGTCTAATGTCTCTAGGCAAAACAAATGTGTGCCTCCCTCACATTAGAATCAACCAAGGACAATCATATTGTTCTTTTTTACAAAAATCAGTGCTCTTCAATGTCGTAGCAAAAAGATGACGTGATAATAAAGTGTGCCTAGAGAGGAATTTCCTCATAAAATTTCTGAACAAAATTTGCATCACATTTTGTGATATCCCCTTGTCAATTATAAAAAAAAGGCTTCCTTCACAGGGCTGCCTCTATATTACTTCTTCTGCTTTCCGTTCTTATGATTAAACTCAGAGCTACTGAAAACTAAGGATTACTCATTCTAGTCTCAGAAAGAAATAAACAGAACACTCTTATTTGGAAGCCTTGTTGCAAGGAATAGCTAATGAGTAAACAGAAATTACTGATTTATGAGAAACACTTCCATTCAGAGAATTATGAGAATGCCTTTGTCAAGTGGGAGTAACTATTTGATATAACTAGCCCACTTTGAAAACAGAAAGTCAATTAATTTATTTCCCCCTGTCCTCCCTTTAGCCAATTGGTTTTTCTTTCTTGTTGCCCCTCTTTGACCTCTGGTGGTTTTTATTATCATTTTTTCCCCCATTTAGAAGTTGAGCATTCAGTCTCTTGACTTCCCTTGTTTTCACATGTGTTCAGGGACCAGATGTCATGGTCCATTCAGAATATTAAGAATCTTTGTATGAAAATCAGTGATGTTCATTTTAAGATACACATTCATTATTAGAAAAGCAAATTGCAGTAGGCCACAAGGCACATTCGTTTGCCCATTTTCTGTGCTAGTTAAGAAAACTTGTGAGGAAGACTCAGAAAGGATTTAGAATTCTGCACACAGTTTTATGTCATCCATAGAAATTGACAGTACCCCATTGGGAGTCTCACCACTTCTCTCTAGGCTGTTCTGAAGCTTCATGGTTTTTGGTACATTATATCAGGATATTTTTACAATGGGGAGAGGGGATGATGAAATGTCAAAGAAACACCCATGGCTGCATTAATTAATAAAGAGCATCAGAGAGATCGAAATCAGGAATTTTTTTCATTTCTACAGTTGGATTCATTTCATTAACTGGCTTCCAGGGGCGTCCAGGACATTTAGGGGAGCTTTCTGGAAAATCAGATATCAGGTTAAATGAAAGGCTATTTGGCTCTATCTGGATGTCAGGGATCCAGGCATCATCATTCTCTGTGGGAGTTGGTGGTACGTTAGTCATCATAGCTGCAATGAGATCTGAGTCCTGAAAGTAAGGAATGGTAACTGCTACACCTGGCTGGGCTAGAGAAGGGAGGAGTATTGGCCCTTCTGTCTTCTCTTGTGTCTGTGCAGAAGATGTAGTACTATCTTGAGAAGAACTTGCCAAATGCTCTGTTCTCCAACCATCGTGCTTTCCATTGTTTTGTCCTTTATTTTTATGTTTTTCATGGCCATGACCATGTTCATGTTTATGTCCATGGGCTAGGCCATGTCCCCTTTGATGTCCATGGCCAAGGCCATGTTGCTTTTGAAGTCTATGGCTAAGGCCATGTCCCCTTTGATGCCCATGGCCTTGGTCATGCTCATGTCTATGGCCTTGACCAAGGCCATGCTTTATTTGCTTTTCATGGCCCCAGCCATGTGCACGAGCGGGTCCTTGTTCTTTTCCTGAATCCTGCTCTTCATCTTGTACAGGTGCCATGGAAGTGTGGGGTGAACTTACAGTTGTTCCTTCTTTTGTTTTCTCCACTTGTACTGATCGGAAAGGTGAAAAACCTGGAGGCCTTTTCAGCATTGAGGTCTAAACAGAAATATTAAGATGAATGTATTACTGTGAAAACCACACTATCAATGCAGAAAGAAGGGACTGAGACCTGGCAATGCTATCTTGGTTTACAGCAGAGCAAGTCTTTGCCATATTTTAAATACTGTATTAATATTCCAGAAAGGATGAGAATACATAATATTTTTTCCTCTTTTGATTGATTTTATAGTTTTTGGAAATTGCTTATTGTTCTTAATAATACTCCTCTAAGGTGGACAGTTTTTTCTTTATCTGGAAAAATTGGAAGACAAAACTACATCTCTAGGGTAACTTCTAAGCCTATGATTATGTAAAACCATGGCACATTATTTATTAATTGATACTATTTCTATTAACACAATTATTGCTTTTATCCCAAAAGACCCTGAATGGCTTTATGACCCAAATATATATGGAGCATATCCACAATCATTTTGTTGGGCTGAAACATATTAGGACATGTTCACGAGCTTGAAATACACCTTTTGCATAATGTTCATGTTAAACTACATACATACCTATACTTGGCAAAAAACTAAACCAGAAACAGGGAAGAAGAGGCAACTTGCATTGAAGAGATGGATTTGTGGATTATTTCTACCTATACTTGCACTACCGATGAGAACATGGAGGCAGTGTCTTGTGGTGCAAAGAGCTTGATTTTTGGAGTCAGACAAGCCAGACCCTATTAGTTATCAGCATCATGTAACAGGGAGGGCTCTGACTTGACCTAGATTTCAGTCTGAGTGCCACTAGCTTCACTTCTCTCATCTCTAAAATAGGAATGACAGCAGCACCTGCCTCATAGTGTTGTCAGGAGAAAAATATATGTGAAGTCCTCAGTATAGGGCCTGGGACAGAGGAAACACTTCATAGTGTTATTATTCACTGTAGGACCTCAGCATCTTTGTAATTTTTACTGTCTCATCCTTGACAATGGGGAAAGTATTACTCACCTCTCAAGGTTCTCTTAAGAATTAGAAAAGATGATACAAACTAATGCTTCTCTCTCTTGAACAAAGATATGAATCCCCTGGGGATTGTGTTAAAATGCAGATTTTGATTCAGTAGATGTGGAATAGGATCTGAGATCTGCATTTCTCCCAAGCTCCTAGAATGTAAGCAGGTGCCAGTGGAGCATCTCAGACACACCTTGAAGCCGCATAGCTAGTAGTGTTAGCTCTCCACAGCAGAGGCTGCACTTCACTAAGAGCCTACTAAACAATGGGACACTTACTAAACAAGAGGACTGCTGTTCTTCTTTCTAGTCATAAAAAAAGAGAGATCAGCATAGAAATGTGAGAGTTCTCCCCATTTTAGAAAAGAGAGTCCCCCAATTTGCTTAAATAATGGTTCATTTTCAACCCCAGAATAGGACTTTTCGGAATTGCAAAAGTGACCTAAACTGATTGTAATTAAAATCATACCTTTCCTAGTGATCGACATTTGATAGTAGGGTAAACTTTTTTCTCCCAAGGTACCACATAAACATCAGCAGTGCAATCCAGAATTTGCTATCCATGAAAACGGAAGCCAAAAGAGAGAACAGTGTTATTGATGAGACACTTAAATAAGTATAAAACATCAAATAGATTTTCAGGAAATAAGTAGACAGTTGCATTACTTACTCCAAATTTATTGATCTCACAACTTTCAGTCAACTCTTCATTATTCTCCTTGGAACATGTGGTTTCCCTGGCCATGAACTCAATATGAAATTTTGTTCCAGCCACCACCTGGAAAATTAATTAGCACAAAGTAGATGCTTAATTAATATTGCATAATAAATCATATGTTTTAACCCTAAGGGCTTTTAGAGGAGAATATTAAAATTTTAATTCTACACTGACCAAATGAGAGTTATACAAAAAACTACAAATTGATTAAGACAAAACTTTCGGTTTGTATGCATGTGTCTCTTGGTTGGTCTCACTTTCTTTTCTAAATGAAAAAAGAAAAGTAGGCTATAATTTTTTATTTTTCTATTTTTCTGAGTTTTATTGTTCAATAGCTGTAAAATTCACTAGTCATTCAAGAGCTCAAGTTGTAATAGAATCTAGGAAGAATAGGAAGAAAAATTTAAACATTTTCTTTAAATATGCCTTATTGTCCTACCAAATCTTGAATCAGAGAAATTCTGAGTTACTACTACCAGTACAGAAATTACGTGGATTAAATTATGTGATTAGGAAAATTATTTGGATTTTCTAGTTAGCATCTCTTAATTTTTTTTATATTAAGAAACCATTTCAATATTTAGCAAAAATTTTAATCATTAGGCGATACTGTCTCCACAAGTAACATTTTGTGCCCCCTCTCTTTTTTTTTCTTGTCTACAAGGATACACTTTATTTATTTAAAAAGTTAAACTCATGCTTTTTAAAATACTCTAACTTCAACAAAATCCCAAGTATAGTTTTTTCAGTCATTTTTAAAATGTCATATTTTATATCTCTTTTACACCTGAAAAAATATTCTTGGTAAAATGATCTCAAATTATTGTTAAAAGTTAGTTGATGTGATCCAATTTCTAGACCCAGTTATTCAGTATTTAATTCTAAGATTTGTGTGTGTGTGTGTGTGTGTGTTGTGAACTGGATGTGTCTCCCCTCCTCAAATTTATACACTGAAGTCCTAATCTCCACTGTGATGGTATTAGGAGATAGGGCCCTTGGGAGGCAATTAAGTTTAAATGAGGTCATGAGGGTGCAGGCCCCATGATGGAATTGTCTCCTTACAAGGAGACAAAGAGAGACCAGAGCTCTCTCTTCCTCTGAAATATGAGAGGATTCAGTGAGAACGTGGCCATCTGCAAGCCAGAAAGAGAGCCCCCACCAGGGAACCAAACTGGCTAGTTTTTGGACTTCCCAGACTCCAGAACTGTGAGAATTAAATTCCTGTTGTGTCAGGCACCCAGTTTATGATATTTTATATGGTACTGTGAGCAGGATAACAGTGTGTGTGTGTGTGTGTGTGTGTGTGTGTGTGTGTGTGTGTGTGTGTGTAATATTATGTAGCTATCACAAAAGACATCAATATATCTGTTGACCTGGAGAAATGACCATTATTTTTAAAAGTTACAGGGTGATAGTATAATCTCATCTGGAAAATCAAACCACAACAGTCTTCCTTATCTCTCTGTTTTTTAAAAGCACGGAGAAAGTGTGGTGGGAGGAGGATGAAGAGAGCAGAGTCATAGGCAGGACTAAACTCCTCCTCTACCTTTTTGGGTATTGTTTTGCTGGTGAAACATGGTTAATTTTTTTTTCTTTAATTGAAGAAATGATTTAAATTTCCTCCCTGCCCCCCCCTCACCATCTACACATGGTTAAATAACTATTAAAACTCCAGGCGTGTGTGTAAGTGGGGAGGAAAGTTCTAAGAGAGTTTTAGAATCTATATTTTGGTGATCACAAATTTTCTTGCTTGTTTTAGATAACACCTTAATGCATTTTTTTTTACAGTAGTGTCGATCAAGGTAATGTTGCCTAAGAAAGTTGACAATATGTGACACAAATCTATTCAGGGTCCAGAAGGGAGGAATTAAATAGACTTAGTAACATTTTACATCTGAAGGCCTCAAGAACGTATCCATATTGCTATTATCAGGTGTCATTCTTATCAGAAGTCTTCCCTGCTTTAACTCACCCTGCTCAAGTTTTGTTTTTAAAGTAGACAATAGAGGTGGCTTTATGGTGCAGTGGTTAGCACATCTGCTTTACACACAGAAGGTCCTGGGTTCTTGCCCCAGGTAGAGCCACGGACCATACCCAGGGTGCACCAGCCCCACGTGCGCATCCCAAGCACATGGGAGGAGATGCCCTGCCCTCAGAGATCCAGTTCTTAAAAAGGGAGATGGTAAAATCCGTAAGTCAGAGGTGGAAGTGAGGGTGGGGGGAAATTAAAGAGGGGTAAAAAATAAAAATAAAGTAGAGAATAGCATATAGCAAAATAAATTCCAAATGCATTTAAAATTTTAAATTAAAGGAATAAACTCAAAATATACAAATAAATATCCATCAGATCTCAGGGTGAAGAAGGCCTTTCTTAGATGAAAAGTAGAGGAAGAAAAGCTAAAAGAAGGAAAAAGTTCTGAATTTGACTAGACAAAATAAAAACTGATTCAAGCAAAGTAAAAAGGCAAACTGGGAAAAAATATAGTATAGAATTAATATTTTTGTGCATACAAAGCCCAACACACAAAAAATGGACAAAAGACATGAATAGGTATTTTAGAAAAGAAATTAAAATTGTCATTAATTCTGAAAAAAAAAGTTTACCTTCATTAATAATCAAAATATGCACATTAAAAAGCATTGCAACAGCATTTTCAATCTTCCATATGTTGGTAAAGATGAAAAATAGTGATGATACTTAGTGTTGACCAGGTGTAGGAAGTATGCAGCTTCAATCACTGTTGGTAGGAATGTAACTCAAATCAAGATGATCAACCAAAGTCTTATACTCAGGCAATGTGAATGTAAATTGGCATAATTACAAATTGTTTGGTGATTTGGCAATTTGCATCAGTCTTAAATATAAACATATGCCTTGACATTTCTTGTACTTTGTCAAAGGAAAAATTCCTGAATATACACACACAGATACCTTGTATATTTATCTGAGCAAGGACAGGGAGGAACTTTGACAATGGCAGGGACAGAAGTAGTAGGGGCAGGGCAAAATAAATGTCCTATGACAGAAATTACAATTATTCACATGTGCAAATGGAAATTTTAAGAAATATTTGGTATCTGAAATAAAATAAGAACCCAACTTGGAATGGACATAAATCCAAATAGGACTAAATATGCAAAGCCAAAGAAAGACTAAATCTGTAAAATAAATTTTTAGCAATTTGGAAAATTGTTCATTTGGAAATTGGTAAATGGTTTCCAGTAACTTGGTTGCTTGCACCAAGGCTGCCTTGAATGACTATGTCAGAACAACCAAAATGCTCTCTTTAAATGCAGAAATCAGCAAAGATTCATCTCTTAAAAGTAAGTTTGAGATTCTCACACTATTCCAAATTGATTTGGCAACTGAAGGAACGTCAGTTTGCTTCAATTGGCAGCATTACCAATTGTCGTTCCCCAAACACACGCACACACAGGTGCGCACACACACACACGTTATAATGTTGATTTGTTAATTTACAGAGAACTGTAAGTACTTAGGGGACTAGATAGTCATGCTTGAGAATGAGTGGTTCTTTCCTGACAACAAACATGCAATATATAATGGACTACTGGACTACTCCTGCATCATTAAGAATAAGAGAATTTCACAAGAAAGCAGAAATATAAAGTGAAAAGAAAAGCTGACAAACACGAGTATCATGGATTGGTGTACTCTTTAAGTAAGCCTAACATGGATCATGTGCCAAAGAAATCAGGGAGAGATCAAAGTGTCAGTTTTGACTTATTTTAATACCATTTGCTTAGGTTTTTGTTTTCCAGTAATAAAACTAATACAGGAAATTAGAAGATGAAACTAAATAGCTCATTGTGCCATCACCTAAAGCTACCACCGTGAATAGTCAGTCTCAGGCATTTGTATTTTTTTTTTTTAGTATTGTTTTCTGTACTTTTTAATACCACAGTCAACAACGAAATGTATATTCAATTTTATGGCATCTTTGTTCGCTGCATAGTTAATCACAAGGCATTTCCTACATCAAGGACTCCTCACAAAGATGCTTTAAAATTGCTGCTTAATACTCCATTGTAAGGATATGCCAGATATTATCTGATCATTTCTATATATTGATCATTTTGACAGTTTACGGTTTTTTCTTTTATAGTTAAAGCTGCAATGAGTATCACTGCATATAAAGACTCTATTTTAGATTTCTAGAAATTCAATTACTGAGCCAAAAGTATGAACTATTTCAAATGAGATTTTTTTTCATCAGATTATAAATATCATGTTGGTTTGCTCTAACAGTTTGGTTCTATTTTGATTACTTTTCTTCAGCTTATACTTAGGGAGGCCAATTTTGAGGCTCTATAATAGGAATCTGTCTGAGAATACATTGGTTATAGGCTGTTGGAATTGGCAGGGATTTGGGCTCTTCTTTTCCAGCCACTTATTTTACATATGAAGCTACAAAGGCTGGTGAGTCTGAGTGACTGACTTCCAGGGTCCACCCAAGACATGCGTGGCTGTTGCTGTGGTAGAGCTAGGTCTCCTGACCTCCAAACCAGGATGCTCCTTATCCTCTATTGACAGGGCATGGAAGAAAAGGCAAATCCCCAGTGAGATGGGAAGGACACCCCATTTGTAAATGGGAAGGACATCCCAGGTGGGAGAAATGACATGGAAGTGAGAGTGTGAAGAGAGTCTGGGCAATGATAGACGAATGATGTGGCTGAGCCCAAGGTACTAAGGGATGTTACCATAAGAAATGAGTCTAGAAATGCAGAGGATAAATCCTGCTTTTTCTAGTCCTAAATTTTATTAATTACTTAGTAGTTGCTAGATTTATAGAGCACTTTAGAGTTTAAAAAGTGATTAACATACATTATCCTATTTGATCCTCACCCCAGTCCTTTAAAGACAGAAGACAGAGAGAATGTTTTAGATGATTTGTTCAAGATCACATGATAAGCAAACAGTGAGGCTGAGATTGAAATTCAAATCCCTTTCTCTACAGCCAAGATCGTGGCAAAATTAGTAAGCAATCTGCACACAGACTATAATATCACTATTTTTGTAGCATAATTCACAGACCTGTGCTGTTGCTTTGCTCACAGTGTCAATCTTGAAATAGAAGGTTCCATTATTCTCTGCATTAAGTTTTGCGATGGAATGAGTCAGAGGCTCCTCCAGCTCTGGACTGTCAACAGGTATATCTTTGGGGCAACCAGCGCAAATCATGGTAGGTAGTGGTACAGAATCCTCCGCTGAAAGAAATCAGGCTTTAAGTCAGCGTGCGCTCTGAAGAAGCAGTCTAGCCTACTACCTCCCCCACACATGATCCAGCGTCCATTTATAGAGGGCCACGTGGCAGCTCAAGGCCCAGTAGTGAGTGGGTGGAGTTTATCGGACCTTCACCTTACTGCCTCTTCTTTTTTCCCCTCCTCAGAGCCAAGTGTGTTTAGAGAAATCTTCAATTGGAGGGTGTTAGTGACTCAACATGCTGCACTTTTCCTAAGTTTTTACATGTTGGATGGAAAGTCTAAAGAACAATGCTTAACTTAAAGGAATGACTCTCTAGTGGAAAATTTTTAAGTCCTACGATTCCGGTGAGCAGGCAGCTTCAGTAATGCTTTTCATTGTGGAATGTATACAACTATCTTTCAAGTATGAGAAAAGCCAACTGTTGGTTAAGAAATACCGACTTGACCATAAATTTGTGCTATCAATCCCTCCACCCCTGACTATAATATGCAGGGAAAAATAATCTTTAACTGAAAATATTTTGAGTGATTAAAAATGAGATACAGCTTCCCCAATTTACAACACCTGATGTAGGGACATCTTGTACACAAGGAAGACCAGCTGACTTTGTACCTGAAGGCCAGCTTTGCCTAGAGAACATACATTTTCCCTTCTGCAACCATATTCCCTTCTTTCCATTTGCAGAGCAGTCTCCACTGCACCTGCTACAGCATAACTGGGAAGAAATGGGGTATAGTGCTCTCAATAAGGTCCTATGGTCATATAGACTTTGCGGCATATCATGAAACCCAAAGCACAATTCCTATGAAAAAACCTAGCCAGTTGTCTGAGACCAACATGTACAAACTTGTATTAACCCATACCTGGATAAATGTCACATTTCTGTGAGAAGGAAGCAATTCTTAGCTGAATATCCATGTATGCATTATCTGTACATTCACCGATATCCTAGTTTTTAAAAAGGATAAGTGAATAAATTAAAAACATTTTAAGAACCTTTAAAGTAAACAACTAGTAAAAATGAAATATAGGATGTCAACTTTGCATAGAAAGCAAAACAAAACATAGTCTAGTGGCAAAAGAGAGAATAAGAAACAATTAGGTAATAGCACCACCAACAACAAACACATATACGCAAACACACAGAAACATGAAATAAGATGACAAGAATAGGAATAATAGTATAGGAATAATAATTATATAAGTAAATGAGTAAAATTTCCTTTTCGAAAGGCTAACTTTCAGATTAAGTCAAAAACAAATTCAATGTATTACATTTTTAAGAAAAATATCTTATAATAAAAAAGATAAAGATTAAACATAATAGATGAGCAAAACTATATGAGGCAAATATAAACAAAAAAAAGCTAAAGTATTATTAATATTGGACAAAGTAAAATTCAAGGTAATAAAAAACTCGTGAAAGTAGTAGAAAAGATAATTTCATTTTTATAAAATATATAGTCTAGAAGCATAGAATCAAAATACACAAAGCAAAAAATAGATATATGAATACAAATGGATAATAATTGTGATGGAAAAATTTAATACACAACTGTAAATCTAAGACAGGCCAAATGGATAAAAAAATAATTAAGGTCATAGAAGAATTGAGTAACATAATAAAAAATTATTTAAGTGCTATTTTCATATGCTACACATGATTTAAAGTGATATTTTTATATTTATGATGCTAATATTTTTAACTGCTTTTATACTAGGTCACAAAAAAGGCTCAATAAATTTTGCAAATCAAAAACAGTATAGGCCATGTTCTTAGACTTCAGCACCAAAAAGAAAAAAAAAATCTCTAAAATTAATACTGTAAGTTTAAACAAATGAACAAAAAACTAACTACTTGGAAATCTAAATACACTTGCCTAAATAGTTAGGGTCTTCTTTGGATAAGGAAAAATATAAAAAATAAAAACAAAAGCCATCAATTTCTAACAAACATATGAAAATATAATGGTTAAATAAATGCATATTAACTGCACTGCTGTTTGAGACAATGGAAACCAAAAATGCTTTTGTCTATGAAATTAGAAAATTAGCTATATTTAAAAAGTAATACTGAATTATATTAAGGGTATACATTGCCAATAGAACAAAAATTGGTGCATTTGGCAGATAGTCAACCTATATATCAAGAGTTGTAAGAGATTTTGTACAGTTTTATATTATGTATAAAGCTGAGACTTTATTCTGAGGAAAATATACCAAATACAGAAATAACTTTATTTTCAAAATATATTTGGTGAGTTATTAATTATAATAAAAAATGAAAATAACCCAAATATAGGAAAGTAATTTAAAAAAAATCTACAGTACCTTTATTGAGATACTATACAGTTATTTAAAAGCAAGTCTATCAAGTGTTTTAATGACATATAAAAATTCTTAGGTGAAAAAATGTAGCATATAAAATAATTACAACTATCAAAATACAAAATATCACTAAAAATTGTCTATATCCTTCCTAAAAAAATGTACAAGAAGGAAATACACTCAGATACCTTTGGGTATTTGGTATATGGTTCAATATATATATATTTTGTTTCTGTATCATCTTGAAGTTTTCTATAAATGTATATTTTCAATAAGGAAACACATGTATAATAAATGTTATAGTTTTTAAAGATATGGGGAATACCACATTTATAATACCTTAATTTTGGATGGGGAGAAGAATGCTGGAAGTAGCCCAGAGGTTCTCAATTCTATCAGCATATTTGATTCACCTGAGAAGTTTTTAGATCATTCTGACTCCAGAAACCCACCCCAGATCAATCAAATTAGACTGAGAGAGTGGCCTAGGAATAGGTACTTTTTAAAGCTGGCCAAGTGATTCTAATGTACAATATGGCCTGAGGAGAACTACTCATGAAATCTCTTAAATCAGTGCTTTTCCAAACTTAGTATGCAAATGAATCATCTGAGAATCTTGTTAATATGAAGATTAAGTAGGTGTAGGGTGGAGTTTAGGATTCTGCTTTTCTAACAAGTTCTCTGGTGATGCTGATGATCCAGGGACTAAACTTTGAGTGGCAAGGCCTTAACTCTTACCGATGTGGGCAAAATATTTCATTTATATTTTATGTCCTTTAATTCTTGTAACGAACTGTGAGATAGGTGCTAGCTATTATTCTTTGCTATTTTACAAATGAGGAAGTGGAGGCTCAGAGAAATTACACTAAAAATTTGATTGGCTTTGTGACTCCAACCAGCTGTTGCATCTCTCTGTGCAGCAAAGAGAAAACTAAATCGAGACCTTACAAACAGATGCAGAAATATTAAAGCAAGGTAACATTTAGGCCTATATAATCTCAAATGGCTAACTAAACATAAAAAACAGAGGGTGTGAGTAGATGCTTAAAAAGCCAGGCCATTCGAACTGACAAAGTTAAATGGTAGTAGCTAGAGCATATGTTTTTAGAGGATTATATATATTATGGTAAAAAATATGGAACATAAAATTTGCTACTTTTATCATTTTTAAATGTATAATTCAGTGGCATTAATTATATTCACAGTGTTGTGCAACCATCACCGCTATTTCCAATAGTTTTCGTAAACCCTATGTTTAACTTTTTGAATAACTACCAAATTCTTTTCCACAGTGGCTGCACCGTTTTATATGCCCATCATCAATGTACAAAAGTTTCAATTTTTCTACATCTTCCAAAATACTAGTTATTCTCCAATTTTTTTTTAATTATAGCCATTCTCTAGATGTGAAGTGGCATCTCATTAGGATTTGTACTTACATTCCCCTGATAGCTAATTATGTTGAGCATTTTTCCATGTGGTTATTGACCATTTGTATGTCTTCTTTAGAGAAATGTTTATTTAAGTCCTTTGCCCATTTTAAAATTGGGTTTATTGCCTTTTTGTTGTTACATTGTAGAGATTCTTTACATATTCCGCATATTAAACCCTTATCAGATATATGATTTGTAAATATTTTCTCCTATTCTGTAGGTTGTCTTTTTACTTTCTTAATAGTGTCCTTTTTACTTTTTTCCCAATTATGAAATATACATATACTTGATTAGATATATTGGGAAGTATTGAAGAGTTCCAAAAAGTATAAAGGATTAGAAAAAGCACCCACAGTTCCAACTGAAAGTTAAGTATATTTTATATTTTGGCATATTTGTTTCCTATCACTTTTAATACTTACATTATACATTTGAATGAATTTGTATGTATAGTTTTGTATCCTGCTTTTTTGTTTTTTGTTTTTACTTAACGTATTATAATCATTTTACTAAGTCATCAAAAACTCTGCAAACGTAATTTTAATGGCTGCACATATTCTACTTTATAGACAAATTGTAATTTACTTAACCATTAGCTAAAATTGAAAATATAAGACATTTCCAATGTTTTTTTTTTTTATTAATAATGATGCTGAAATTAACATCTTACTGTTTGGATTTCTCATTTTTTTCCCATATAATAGAATTTTAGAATTAGAATGAATAAAGGGTTTTCAGGAATCTTTTGCTTAAAGCACAGACTTCTGCTAAAACACAAATATACATGGGAAGGTCTTCATACCTTAGTTATCGAACACGCACTAACTTCTGCCACCTTGAGATACATTCTTTTAGCATAATTTTGGTTGTGATAACAAGATATTATTCTAGAAAGTGTCACTTTCCAGGTGTTTAATTCTTTAACAATCTAAAATTGAAGCACCAGTGTTGACCAAGGTGAATATTGGGATTTGTGAAGTTAGTTGCAGTTTACCAAAACAAATACAGGATGTGTTTAGTAAAGAAAGATAAAGGTACAGGAGGGAAAGTGAGAAAAGAAGCAGAGACAAGTGTGAAGTGAGGGATTGTACTAGGTAGCACTTGGGAGCACCAGAAGGACTTGGAGCACGAGAGGAAGAAAGAGAGACAGAAAAGTGTGAAGACACGAAGAGACAAACTTGACTGTGGCATCGTTTTATCTCAGGCTATTTTTAGTTCCAGGCTATATCTGTAAATGCTTATTGTTAAATGAACAGATTTTTTTGACCAAGTAGGTAAGGCAGTTTGCACAGTGACATGAGCTTCAGAGTACACAAGGGAATGTGACTGTGAATTGGTGAATGCCATCTAAAATTTTAGTGACCAAGTCTTCCTACATAGCTAAGAGTTCTCACACCTGTAAATACTGGACACAAAATGCTAAGACATTTATAATTAGGTTTTTGCCTACTTACACCGTTGAGAAGAGACTTGCAGTCTGGAGTTAAGGACAGAAAATTCTCCTTGGAACAATTAGTTTGCTCAATTGAATAAGTGATTTTATAGTTCCATCCAGCCACCACCTAAAACAATTTTGAATTGAATATTTACAGGGCAGTTTAAACATTATTCACAGTGTTATGAGGAGCTTAGTATACTGCCTGGCATGTCATAAGTGATCAAAAATATAAACTATTATTATTACTAGGCAAAAGTCATGACCAAATAAATATTGAGCATTTTATGACTCTCGTATCCCTCAACACACACACACACACACGCGCGCGCACACACACACACACACACACACACTCCTACACATCTGAAAATGAAAAACAATATATAGATGGAGTTGCTGTATTTCCTGCCAGACAGCAGAAAAAAAATGTTCTATTGAATTTTATAAAATATTAATAATGCTCTTCTAGATGGCGAAAGAAAACTTTGGAACTAGAGTGGCCTTTACTGGTAGGTTCTCAGGTTCCCAGATTGTCAGATAATAAAATTTCTCTGCTTTATCCCGGGCTAGTCCCACTCTGATTGTTCGGTATGGACATAATTGAGTAGAACATGCGTCTTGCATGAAGGCAAGTTGGAAGATCTATTAAAGACAGGGAGTGACTGACCAAAGCGAGTCCCTCATAATTAGAGACATAGTCAACTGTCAGGTAAGACAGTGAACCAAGGCAATGGAAAGAGCAGATTTACAAGTATTTACTTTTTTTTCCTGATAATATGGAAACTATAATTTAGAGGGTAATGAGAAATTTGTGCCAACCTTTTTAGGTACACTTTAATATTTCAGAGCCATTTTTGACACATTATAGCTAGGTGATGCTATAGTTTTCTTAAAACCTTAAGGCCAGAAAGCTTTTTCATTTTACCATCTTTAAGAAGAACACGTATGCTGACTCCCCATTTATTAAAACCAATCTCAAAGGAAGGTGTCTGTTAGCCCCTGTCTGTTAGACCCTTTTCCCATTTCCATATTGCAATATCCGAATCACTTTGACTGAAGAGAAAGCTCTTTGCCTCCTGTGCTCTTTGCCTCAGATGAGAACATAAAAGAGCTCCTTCACCACCAGTCGTGGAATCACGTTTTCCTTAGCCAATGGTTTATTTTAGGTAATGAAACCTTAAACATAAGGAGCTAACAAATTTTCACAATACTTTGAGAAATGAAAAATTAAAGAGCAAACCTGTCTCTCGGCCCTTTTCACTTCTTTAAGAGCAAACAGGTGGGAATGATCAGTGTCGTTGTTAAAATATTGAATGGCATATCTCAGAACCGGTTCCAAGTCAGGGCTGGCAGTTGATATGGGGTGCACGCAGCCAAGGCAGTCGTACTGGGATGTCACCACAGAGCCCTCGGCTTTACAAAGAATAGGCAAAAGAGCAGTTAATAAGCAAAACCTACATTCAGATACATTGCCCTAAATACGTAAGAAAATTTCGAAGGCCCTGGTAAACAAATTTTCCAGTAAGTCCTAGTATGCATTAATTAAAGAGAAGACAAGACTGCTTTTCAGTCAGAGGGAAAAAAAGCTATCATTCTCTTAGAAACATCTTATATACATACTACTGTGCATAATTATTTTAAATTATAGAATATATGAATTTATCCCCTTATAAAAAAGTCATTACAGATATCTCGTGATTTAGTTTTCATTGTTAATTAAAGCTCCTTGAAGCCTGGTTCAGGGTATGATACGTTTTGCATCAATTCAATCCAAGAAATATATATTTTGTACCTGCTGTAATATGCCAGGCACTGAGCTAGACTATGTGGCTATGTTAATTTGTTGGTAATGGTCGCTGCCTTGAAGGAGCTGGGCAATGTTAAGTGGGAGAGATGGAACTGTAGATGGATCATTTCAATGTAATTTGGCAGGAGCTTTGAAAAGGAGCCCAGAGTGAGCTAAGGACTTTTCTGAGAAGACATCTGAGCCAAGAAAGGTAAAGTACAGTCAGTGTCAACCAGGCAACATGATGTGTGAGGCCTGAGGAATAGGAACAAACAGCTCCCAAGAAAGCAGGATGAGTCAGGGGCAGCCTGAGGGATGTCGAGTACGCACATTCACCAGAGCTTAGAGCAAGAGGCAGAGAGAGGGGATTGAGGTCTGAGCAGTCAGTAGAAAGAGTTTTACTGTTGAGTCAGTCTGAGATACTCTCTGGAGGCCAAGGATTACTAACTATATTCCAAGGGTCTTGGGCATCTTGGCAAACCTAATGAAAGCTATCGCACGCTCTCCAGGAAAATGAACAACATTCTCCACATTATTTTAGAGTCTTCAGAGACCCCTGAAGTAAATTGAGAATGGTCTATTGTAAGAATGAGGAGCCACTGAAGGGGTTTTAATAAAATATGTAAAATATTAACAGCAGTGAGTTTATATTAACTTAAAACAAGTAATGTTTATAAATAGCCGCAACCCGCTGGTCAGTAGAGGCACGCGCTGTAAAGAGGGGGAACTCGCAAAGGAGTCAGTCCTAGGCCTCTTTGCCCAGGGGGCTCTCACTGCTCAGTGTGTAAGATCCAAGCAGAACCAGGAGGCCAAGGTCAACACAGCACCCCTGGTAACAGTTTCTTGGTTTTCACTCCATTAGAATGCATGTCAAGAAAAAGATTTACTGGGTAAATATTCATAGCTTTCCCCCCTCCTCTCCTTACGTAAATTATGTCGAATCAGGGCAGTGGGCAAAGTTAAAAACCTGGAGGAGAATTATATGGGAAAGGTGAGAGAATTACTTATGAGGGAACAACAACAAAAAAGATGAGCACAGAGGTGAAATGGGAGATGGAGAAAAGACAAGAAGCTGGTTTGCTTGACCTCAAAGGCAGTTCTGACAGGGATAAGGAAAGAGATACAGCA